TCTTATAGTAACCTGCAAGCCTTAAGAATTGGCGTACTTCGGTCAGTGTCGTTGGTGCTTTCCAATTCTTAACCACTTCAATATTCATGGGATCAACATGAATCACTTTATTACTAACCACATTGCTAAGGAAATGCACTTTGTTAATCCAGAACTCACATTTAGAAATCTTTGCATAAAGTTTCTTTTTTTCTTAACAGTTCTAGAATTAAATGCAAGTGTTGGCCATGTTCTTCCTGAGTTCGTGAATATATGAATATGTCATTGATTAAGACAATCACGAATTTATCCAAATAAGGTTTACACACCCGATTCATAAGATCCATGAATACGGATGGTGCGTTGGTCAGTACAAATAGTATTTACGACGAGGGCACTAAGTTAGGATCAACTTTATGTTCTGCTGCAAGGGCGAGGCAGTGTTTACTGCATGGGTGCATGGGTTATCTGTCATATGTGGTGGATACTCAAGTTAACTAAAAGAGACCAATTTCCATTTCTGATGTTCCTATTGTGTGTGATGTCCTTGATATTTTTCTAGAGTTGTCGGGTGTGCCTCCCAAGAGGTAGGTGGAGTTTCGGATCAATCTAATCTCTGGTGCGGTGCCGATTGCCAAGGCACTGTATTGCCTTGTACCAAACGAGATGGAAGAGTTATCCTCTCAGCTTCAGGAGCTATTAGGAAAAGCGTTTATTTAACCGAGAAGTTCACTATGGGAAGCAACAAATGTATATTGCTTATCAGGAATTAAACAAGCTGAGAGTGAAGAACCATTATCCGTTGCCGAGGAATGATGATCTTTTTGATCAGTTACAGGGGCGTCTTGGTTTTCCAAGATTGATTTGAGGTCTGTTTACCATCAGATGAGGGTGTTAGAGGATGATATTCAAAAGACGACCTTTCGAACTCGTTATGGGTATCACGAGTTCGTGGTGATGCCTTTTAGGCTCACCAATGCACCGACATCATTCATGGATCTCATAAGCCGAGTGTGTAGGCCCATGTTGGACCGGTCAGTGATTGCTTTCATTGATGACATCTTGGTCTATTCGAAGACCAAAGAGCAGCATGAGGAGCATTTGCTCGAGATTCTTGGGGTTTTGAGGATGGAGAGGTTATATGCCAAGTTCTCTAAGTGTGAGTTCTGGTAGCACGATGTTTAGTTTCTGGGATACCTAGTTAATCAGAACGGTATCTTGGTTGACCCAACTAAGATAGAGGCGGTTATGTGATGGGAGGTTCTGAAGTCTCCATCTGAGCTTTGGAGTTTCCTCGGTTTGGTGAGATATTATCCGAGATTCATTCGAGACTTTATGAGGAAGGATATTGTGTTTAGATGGAGGCCTGAGCAGCAGACATCATTTAAGACTCTTCGGTAGAGACTTTGTGAGGCACTGGTACTTGCCATCCTTGAGGGAATTGAGGATTTTGTGGTCTATTGTGATGTAAACATTTCAGGATTGGGTGTTGTGTTGATACAAAGAGGGCATGTGATTACGTCCATTTCGAGGCAGCTAAAGCCTCATGATGCGAAGTATCCCTACCATGATCTGGAGCTAGGGGCTGTGGTTTTCGCTCTCAACATTTGGCGCCATTATTTTCATAGGGTTCGATATATTATCTACACGGACCATAAGAGTCAGTGGTATCTTATGGATCAACCTAATCTAAACATGAGACATAGGATGTGACTCGATGTAGTAAAGGATTATGATTGTGAGATTTTGTATCATCCGGGCAAAGCCAATATGGTAACCGATGCCTTGAGCCGTAGAGCAGTCAGTGCCTCGATTCGGGATGTGTGTTTGAGGATGACTACGATGACTCCAGTCTTGGAAATGAGCATATATGCACAGTCAGAGGCTATCAATGAGGAGAATCGGAAGAGTAAGCAGGTGGCTAGCCAGGTTTCATCCTTTGATATTGATAGTGGGAGTTACTGACTTACGGGTTTGGGTACCATATGTTGGTGGGGCTCGACAGGTGTTGATGAATGAGTCCCACAAGTCATGATTTTCCATTCATTCAGGGGCTACAAAGATGTATCTTGACCTGAATCATAGTTGCGGGTGGTCATGTATGAAGAGGGATGTGGCGTGGTTCGTGGAATGGTGCTTGACCTGCCGCGAGGTCAAGTCCAAACATCAGCACCCCCATGGAAAATTGCATCCCTCAAAGGTTCCACTATGGAAGTGGGAGAAGATTACGATGGATTTCATTACAGAGTTTCCAAGAACGACAAAGTGCTTTAAAGCTATCTAGGTGATAGTGGATCTTTTGACTAAAAGTGCTTACTTTCTAGCTATTTGTTGGAGCTCTTCTACCGAGAATTTGGCCGAGATTTATACTCGAGAAGCAGTGGCTCATCATGGGATGCCGACATCTATTGTGTCAGACCGGGATGTTCTTTTCACTTCCAGATTTTGGAAGAGGTTTCATGAGGAGTTGGGTACCCGATTGCACTTCAGTACTGCCTATCATTTATAGACAAACAGGTATACCGAACAGACTATACAAATGCTTGAGGCTATGTTGCTGACCTGCATCATTGATTTTGGTGGGAGCTGGGACTCCTACCTTCCTTTGGCTGAGTTTTCTTACAATAATGATCATCATGCCAACATTAACATGCCTCCCTTCGAGCTTCTCTATGAGAGGAAGTGTCAGACTCTTATTTGTTGGGGAAAGGTTGGGCATAGGGTTATGTGGAGCACTGAGATAGTGCTCAAGACAACAGAGCTTATTCCGTAGGTCATACAGAGGTTGCTGATGGACCAAAGTTGTCATAAGAGTTACACAGATCGATAACGCTATGAGTTTGAGTTCCAGGTTGGGGATTTGGTGTTCCTAAATATATCACATTGGAAAGGTGTTGTCCGATTCAGGAAGCGGGGCAATTTGGGCTGCAGGTTTAGTGGACCATTTAGAGTGCTAGCCCGAGTGGGTAAGGTGGCATACCGGTTAGAGCTGCCTGATGAGTTGAGTCAGATTCATGACACCTTCCATGTTTTCCATTTGAGGAAATATGTAGCCGATGAGACAACTGTGGTCCCTTTAGAGGAGATGCAGGTTGATGGTTTCCTGAATTACATCGAGAGGCCGATGATGATTCTAGATAAGAAGGTGAAGACCTTAAGGAACAAGGTAGTGAACTTGGTCAATGTTCAGTGGTAACATCAGATAGGCTTTGAGTGGACTTGGGAGCCTGAGTCTGAGATGCATGAACATTACCTTGATATGTTCTCAGATGTCGAATTTGAGGACAAATTATGATTCTGCTAGGGGAGAATTGTAATACATGTTGCATTGTATTTCTGTTTTAACCCTTAATATTTTAATTTATTTGTAATTAAGGTCCTTTTGTTGGGTGTACGAGGCTGTACGCCGGCCGTAAGTCATCGGCTTTTGACGCGTCAACATTTGAGTATGTTGGGTGTACATATGAGTACGTCGGGCGTACTTAAGCAACTCTTTAACCCTAAATTTTTAGGGTTGTGTCCCCTATTTAAACATTTTAATCCCTCTTGGACCTCCTTATAATCAACCTTTATTCCTCTAAAACCTAAAATCGAAACCATGGCCCTTGTGAGAAAGATTTGGAGCTTGAGAATGATCCTTGAGTGTTCTTGGTAGTAAAAGAAGACCATTAAAGAAGTGGTGGTGCATTCAAGCCTTTGGATCTAGAATCTACATCTCTTTGTCCATCTTTTGAAGGTATAAAGTTCCTACCTTAGAGCTTATTTTGCTAAATCTTGTTTAGGCTTGGATTTGTGTTCTTTTTGTCCAAAACCTTGATCTTTTTGTGAATATCGAATACTCCAGAGCATATGAGATGTCCTTCCAGACATTTTAAAGTGCTTAGAGTCATAAAAATGTTAGCTTGGTCATTGCTTTTCTTCCATGCATGTGTTATGGAGCTTCTGGTGGTGTTAGAAGTTAGGGTTTTGAGATTCAGCCGAGTACACCGAGCGTAACCCTGGCCATGCCTAGCGTACCTCGTTGCGAGCCTAATTTCTTTCCTGCCTTGCACTCTTTTCCCAACGTAGAGTTGTGTACGTCACGCGTACGTTAGCGTATTGACTCCTTTGACTTTTGGGCTAGTTGTGTCTTTAAGGGAGCTAGTGAGGGTTTTTGGTCTTGGAAAGGGCAAAATGGTCTTTTCCTCTAAATATGGATTAGACTTGGTTTGGGACCGGTAGAGTATGAAAAATTACCTTAATTATTAATTAGCATTAATTTGTGTAATTATTAGACGGAGTCTACTTCCGACCGTTCGGGTGTGAGTTTTATCAGTCATTTGTACAAGGTGAGTCTCCTTACAATGTGTGGTAATTTTGTGAAAGTTATAAAAAACATTGTATGATAATGTAAAAAAAATTAAAAACTTGTAAGAAAATTTTAAAATATTTAAAAAATATTTGGTTTAAAGCATTTGCATGAAAATTGTATGAAAGTATAAAGAAAGTTACAAAAAAAAAAATTATAAGCAAAGTTTAAAATATCATAAAAATATAGTAAAAAATTACGAAAAATCTTAGAAAAACCTATAAGAAAAAAATATCATAAAAATATAGTAAAAAATTACAAAAAATCTTAAGAAATTTGTAAAAAAAAAATTTATTCACACTTTGACAATTTAAAAAAAAAATACATTTAACCATTTAACTTGTTAAATATATTTATATACGACGGTTGTTCCGTAGCAATTATAATATATAAACTCATTCAAAAAATTAAATGATCAAATAGTTAAAAAAAATTGCATAAAAAAAATTGCATAAATATGAAGATAATTACGACACTAGCCATTTTCACTATACTTATATTCATTTGTATTCAAAAGTTGAAGCGCACGAATGTAAAACTTTAAAACCGATTTCAACCAAAGTGGCAGCGCTCTCTTCGTCGACGTGATCTTCTCTTTCTCTCAACATCTCGATCTTCTCTCGAAATCTCCCTATTCGATCTCTCACAAACGAACAACAAAAGTGAAAGATCGATGTCAGGCGCCATTGTTATTGCAGCGTCAAGCTCATGGGCAAGAGCCCTTGTAAAGATCTCCCCTTATACTTTCTCTGCCATCGGTATCGCCGTCGCTATCGGCGTCTCCGTCCTAGGCGCCGCCTGGTAATTCCATTTAACTATCCAAACAACACTCCTCAATCCTTCAAAACAGTCTAGAAAATGTTTGATTAACCGTTTAAAGGGTTGCAGGGGAATCTACATAACGGGAAGTAGTTTGATCGGTGCAGCTATCAAAGCTCCTCGTATTACTTCAAAGAACCTCATAAGGCACGCAATAATTAAACCCTAAGTTTTTGAATTTTGGTCAATTTGTGTATGTTTCTTCCAAAAGTTATGTCCCTTTGAGATTGTGATCTGATCTAACTTCAAGATTCATGTGATAACAGTGTCATATTCTGTGAAGCTGTTGCTATATATGGTGTCATTGTAGCCATTATCCTACAAACAAAATTGGAAAGTGTTCCTTCTTCAAAAATATACGAACCTGAGTCTCTTAGAGCAGGATATGCAATCTTTGCCTCTGGAATCATAGTGGGTTTTGCAAATCTTGTATGTGGGTAAGCTCCCTTACCCTTTTCATACCTAATTTGTTTAATCCATAATAGCAACATGTTTATATTTATTTACCAATAATAGCAATAAATTTGTAGCAAAATGCAATTACATTGCTATTATTATAGGTAAAGAAATGTTACGTGTAAAAAAGAAAGTACATTGTGTATGTTAGTAGTTTTTCTATAAGTTTAAATGTTTGTTGTTGAATGTTGATTAATCTTTTTGTTGTAGGCTATGTGTGGGAATCATAGGAAGTAGTTGTGCCTTATCTGATGCACAAAACTCTTCGCTTTTTGTGAAAATTCTTGTGATTGAAATCTTTGGAAGTGCATTGGGGTTGTTTGGTGTGATTGTGGGAATAATAATGTCAGCTCAAGCCACGTGGCCTTCAAAAGTTTGATTTTTTTTTTTTTTTTTTTTTTTTTTTTTTGTTATAGCAAATGAAGGGCATGAAATCTTTGTGTGTGTGCATATCTTCTAGAGAGAGTATTTAGTGACAGTAGAAGGAATAATAAATGCGTGTATTTTCTAATAATTTTGATTTTTTTGTTGTATGAGTAATGAATAAGGATCGGTTCTCCTGTTTGAATTCTTAGTATGAGTTATAAGTTTCATTGTACTATGATATTTTCTAATAATTTTGGTAAGTTTTGCAATTAATTCAAGAGTAAAAGGCACAAAAAACACTTTTTTTACACAGAAATTCGATTTTGACACCGTGTTTTTTTTTTTGTGTCAATTTTGACACTGTGTTTTCCAATTTGTTACAGTTCTAACCACTTGACCGGTTAACCAGGTTACATGCTGACGTAACATGCTGACATTATATGCTGACGTGTCAAAATTGATTTTTTTTCCACACAAATCCTCAAGTGAAATCCCTACTGAGATGACCCATCTGACCGCAACTGAAACATCCCCTCCCTATCACCCGACAACCTCCCTCATGGGTCCTCCTACACTTGGCACAACGACCCCGAGCCTGTTGGCCTCTCAAACACGAATCTTGAGTCTTGGGCCTCTTCGCATGGCCCAATGCGGTCTGAATATGTTCCGTCTTCCTCTTACTAAGGTGCTCAAAATCAATCTCCCGTTCTCGGGTTCTAGCAATCATATCATTCAGGGTCTTGTACCATAACAAGCTCATAAGCTCACCGATGTCATCCCTCGGCATACCATGATACCTTACCTTCTTCATCTCCTTGGCCGCTGCATGATGTGGAATCAACAAACCCTTCTCCTGAAACTTGGCAGTGATCTATGCCACAATCTCAGTAGTCTAGCGAAGGTCCTGAAACTCCCTTGCTAGTTGCTGCACCTCAATTGCCAGTGTAAACTCCTCTTAGAATCTCAAGATAAAATCCTCCCAAGACATGACCACCACAGCCGCAGATCCTAGTGCCCTACTGACCTCCTCCCACCAATACCAGGCTCGATCCCTCAAAAGACAATATGCAAATCCCACATTCTCCCCCTCAGGGAAAAAAAACTCGTTCGCTAAGCATTATCCATGTCAGCAATCCATTGGCGGCTAGCAATGGGTTCCTTAACTCGAAATAACATTGGAGCTCTACAAGACTTGAATTCCCGAAATGAGGGATCCGCGCTCTCAAATGTCCTACCGCGACATTGGCCTAAAAATCCGTAAGTCTCCTATCCAATAACTCTCAAATCCCAGAGCGATGCCCGCCCAAATGCTCATGCATAATCTCCATGATCCCCTCCTTGATCGTACCGAATATTACAGGAGTCTACTCCAAAATACCTTGGGTGATCTCCAACGAGATGAACTCCTACACTTGTTCATCAATCGACTCAGTACCAGAACTTGAGCCTGAACCAGAACCCGAACCTCCCCCACGAGTGATCATCACCATTCTCAAAAGCCACCAAACAATAACCAGAACATACTCAAAGAATCATCATCCCACAAGCTTACTAGATTCTCTGTGACCATCCTTGATTCGAGTATGGATCATGTGTTTTTAGTAGTACGGGCCCAGTACTATCTTCCACACCTATCCATAATTATCCAGAATCTTCTAAGTCACCTTCTAATACTGGTATTCTAAATACCCGCAAAACAACATAACCAAACCCACTAAAGCACTTCCTAGGCTCTCCTAGGTTCCGACCTCACCTTACCATCAGTTGTTGAAGAACTCTCACTACTGCCATCTAACTACGTCATAAATACAATCATATGCCATAAAGCTTAGATAATCCTTTGAGTAACTGACTGAACCCTACAATGGTTAAACATTTTCAACATGTGACTTAACACATTCACTTAATAGTTAACTCACATCTCTAAGAGTTTCACAAAGAACAAAGCAAGCAGCATTCGTGCAGTAGCACCCCAGGCTTCAAAAACAAACAAAGGACATCCCAAGATCACTTACTACAACCTATGCTAGGAACTTCCACTGTAACATCCATAAAAAATTAAGACAATTATAACCTTTTCAAACAATTTAAATCATTAATTATTACAAAGTGCTTTCAAAATATTTTCATGTCAGAGTATACCATAAATCAAAATCATAAAATGTGAGGAGTTGTACGATGACACCTTTGCCTTACCGCGTTCATCCGAGGTACTTGAAACCAAAACTAAAACTATAAGCCTGAAGCTTAGTGAGTTTCCCCCAAAATACCCCTACACACAACAATACACATATAATCACAAACAACATACTATGGATCCAGTCAACCATCGGGTTGGAATACCCCGGCCCCTCAACCATCAGGTAAGAATGCCAACATACTATGGGTCTAGTCATCCTCGGGATGGAATACCCATGGTCCACAACCATCGGGTTGAAATGCCCACACACTACGAGTTCAATCATCATTGGGAGGGAATAATCACGACCTACAACCATTGGGTTGGAATGCCCACATACTACGAGTCCAATCATCCTCGAGATGGAATACTCACGGCCCAAAACCATCGGGTTGGAATGCCCACATACTACAAGTCCAATCATCATTGGGATGGAATACTCACGACCCACAACCATCGGTTTGGAATGCCCACATACAACGAGTCCAATCAATCCTGGGATGGAATACTCATGGCCTACAACAATCAGATTGGAATGCCCAGGTCTATTGGCATTCACAAAAAGCAGATAAGCCTCAACCACTTATCAAACATGTGAGCATATAACAGATAATTACACAAAAGTCTATAGACAGACAAACCGATCTATCAAATCATAACATCATAATAAAATCCTATCTACCAGGATACTAATCTAACAGATCATAATAGCATAATATCATCCTATCTACCAGGATACCGATCTAACATATCATAATAGCATAATATCATCATATCTACCAGGATACTGATCTAACTGATCATACAATACTCAAACATATAACATATCAGGATAGCAATCCGAAAAGAGCCGGCCTTGGTGCCTTAGACCATTAAGATTAGTGAGGAAAATTCACCTCGCACTGCTGAAGTCCCTTTTGGATTAGGTGTCCAAGTTCATAACTATTTCTGGAATGTAATTGACCTGGTTGGCATGGTCCATTTGGGTTTCATGGCACTGCAACACTTAGATAGACTAAATGAGAGAAAGGACACTTAAGGATTATTAATATATTATAAGTTCTAATATATTAATAATATTATTTAATTAGTATTGATCAAAGAATTAATTTGGATTTAATTAAGAGATCAAAAAGGGACTAATTAAATATATGGGGTTGATTGTGTAAATCATCCATTCTTGTATAGTAGGCTAATGATCCATGGTTTATATGAATTGGGATAAACCCATAAGGTGCTCCATGGATAGTCCATCACTACTAGAAAAAAGGCCTTTTACGACGCTCATTGCGCGTCGTAAAACGCTCAGACGACGCGCAAATGCGTGTCAAGGAAGGCCCTGTCATAAAGAGAGACGACGCGCATTTACGACGCGCGGTTACGACACGCAATGCGTATCAAGGAAGGCCCTGTCATAAAGGAAGACGACACGCATTCGCGTGTCTTAACCTTACAACGCACATGTTAATGACACGCAATGCGTATCAAGAAAGCCCCTGTCAAGAAAGGCCATGTCATAAATGAAGATGACACACATTTTTGCGTATCGTAGTTTTAAATTTTAAAAAAAATTATTTATGGATTTACTTATTTTCAAATTAAATTTGCATTTTATGTCACATAATGGAAAATAAAATACCATATACAAATAATACAATGCATTGCACAAAAGTTAATGTTATACAAATAATCATTCGAATAGTAGACAAATGTAATACTACAAATAATCATTCCAATAGTAGACAAATGTAAGATTTCAACATTTTTTATATAATTAACTAAATTATTAGCCAAATTTCCTAAAATACCAACATACTTTTCTATGAAGAGCATTAATACTATTCTTTTCCATCAAAAACTTCAAAACGTGCACAATTAATTTAATGTTTAATCAGCTACAAGTCAATAAGGTAGGTTTAAGCAAAAGAGGTTCATAGTAGTAAGATTTTACTTACCACTGTTGTTAATGACATTGAAAGAAGCAGCCCAACAAACACCCCCTCAGAAGGATTATTACTAAATGAAACCACAAACAAAGTTAAAAAGTCAAGTATTTTGTGACAACCTCGGAACCAGGGGCAAGGCTGTTTTTACCCATGGTATGACCTAATACATGATAATAAAGACTTGTTTAACAAAAAGAAAAATGATTTCTCATGTGACATCACTATTAAGAATTGATGAAAGAGGGTACTCCACACTGTATTGCCAACAAGCTTGACACCAACACCTAAAAGCTGGAAAAAACAATAACAAAAATAAAAATAAATGTAAGATTTGAGATAACAGATGCATAATTCACATGTCTACTTTTACCAATTTATTTGATGCAACATATATGCAGCTGACATGAATGAATTATACAACAAGTTAGGAGTAAAATAAGGGATGGTTGCATATTTAGTATGATAAATAAAGAGATTTGTGGCATAAGGGTGCATAAATAATAAAAAGCAAAAAGGAAGAGGAAAGCTAACTTACATAATCAGCAAATTTCTGAATTGGTGCTTTTAACATAATACATAAGAGTGGTCCCGAAGGGATAGCTGGCAGCAAAAAATCTCAGGCAAAAAAAATTCCAGGAGAAAACAGTTAGTACCTCAAAAGCAAAGGTTTTATAGGGTTAGGCATGCACCAGCAAGACAGGGACTAAGATTATAAGTGATGTGAATGGGACATAGTAATTAAAGGAATTTTTGTTACCATTGTTCCATGCATAGTGGTTGGGGTAGAGTGCTGTTCCATGTATAAATGTGTGTGTAGCCTCCAATATATTTCATCTTAGCTCCAACTTAACAGTTTGTGGATCCAATCTATGTAGATACCCAATATAGATGCCATTGGTCAGACCTGTTTCAGGAGTGCATCATCATGTCATTTTACATAGATGGTCATTTAAATTGCTGGAAATTAGCGTATCGGGTTTCCTTCGTAACACCATTGCTAATACTACAAACAGACCCACCTAAGATTTTGAGGGTGTTTTTTGGGCAACTTTCTTGGATCCCTTTGAGCCACCTTGTTGAATTGCAAAGTCAGCAAGAATGCTGTCTAAGGACCAAAGGAGAAAAGAACTAAGGGCTTCCATGGATAGTTTGTTGATCCAATCAACTGAGGTTTTGTAAACAGCCTCAGGAATATGTGACACAGGATTCTGCACTTGAGAGAAAGTGGATTAGAAGCTTTGTGTGTGTGTGGAAAATAGTAAAAGTGTATATTTTGATACAAAAAGCACTGAATCATACACAAACAGTTTGAAATATTCAGATTTCAAAATCTTTATACCATGATATCATGTTAATTAGTAGAGAACACACTCACAGGGCCTAAAATTTGGCCGCATAAGTTCGAATCCTTTTGAATTACATTATATGAAGAGAGAGTCTAAGAGGAGAACTTACATCTGCAACCTTAGCAACAGGAGATTCTCTCAATAACTTCACCCAGGGAAATTGTGAAGCAGTCACGCTAGAAAATGCACGTCCAAAATAGTCGGCAAACCTCATCAACTGTATATCTTGTTGTGCCTCGAATGAAGTCTATGAACACATACAAAGAAGTTATAAAGATTAGCTTCCTATATTTCAACTAATAATCAAATTGTGTGAGAATGAAGTTGTGTATGTAATCTACAACCATATTGACAATAATTTTCATCCTAGAACTATACTAAACTTTGATAAACTACACAGTAATTAAAGCTGAATCCAAACAAAAAACTACAGAGAAATGTCACAATTACATATCTTCCCGTTCCGATCGAAGCCTATACAGTACGCAAATCAGTTGAATTTTAAATGGTAATGAGAGAAACCTCAATCAAAACATTGAATTGTAGAAAATAAACATATAAAATTCACTCACCGTCACCTCCAACAGAAAACTAGCCAGGTTGTCGACATCGATCTTCTCCGCTGCTTCCGCAATTGTTGTCTTCAGAAATATTGTTGGATTCGAACTCCATTTCGGGAATTGTATTAGAGAAGAAGATAGGGATAGATTCGGAGAAAGGGAGAGATGATCAGAGCGCTGATTTGGCAAAATCTCAAATTCCCTAAAAAAAATCCTCATAACTCTAAGAAAATTCCTTAAAAAATCTCATAAATTTTCAAGACCCGCTTTCCTCGATTCTTAAAGCACCGGCCTTATTTATATATAAGATATATATATATATATATATATATATATATATATATCTGAATGCAGTTGTTGTTACAGAATTTCAGCGGAATCTTATAAATTGTTGATTGTATAAGGAATTAAAGTAGAATCCAAAAAAGTGGGATGGGGTCATACCTGTAACTTTGAGGCCACGATGGGTTTAAGGAACTAGGTTTTCTTTGATGTTGAGGGTTATCGTCAGAATAATTTGAAAATTCTGAATCATTCCCATCATCTTCACCTCTAATGGAGTCCTTGTCTCCCTCCTTGAAATTGAGCACAAGTCTAAAACAAAAGAAATATGATGAAATTGAACACAGGGCCTAAATTCTTTGAGAAATTTTCAGAATTCAATGAAGAACCATACACGTTCAACAGAAAAATCATAAATCAAAACCTATATATTATCAAAAAATCGGACCTGATGAGAAGAGGAAAAAGGAAGAAGCGTACCTGATGAGAAGGGGAAGGAGACTTCAAAAAATTGGAACAAATGAGTAGAGGGTCGTCGACGATTGGTTGTTGCGGGAGAAAAAATTTGGCGTTGAAGTAGGAGAAGAAACGATGGAGTCGCTGATTTCTTCCTTTGGTAGGGCAAGGGTATAATTGGAAACCCTTCTCCCTTTCTTCCTCCTTTCTCAGTCAGTCGATTTTTTCCATCGTACCCGACTAGATTAAGCTTTCCAAGTCAGATACACAAATTTAGTTCATCAAACGTCTTTATCTGACCGGGTCATCAAAAAAAGTCGTTGATGTCTGAGATTCGATACCTTGAACCAAGAAATCCCTAAATCTCTATGAGATAGGAGCGCCGACACCTCGATCCATTTTGTTGAGAAGCATCGAGCATAACACTAAATCTTTTGGGAGTCGCAGTCGCATGCCAGGAGAAGTGAATGTGATGTTGCAGTGGTCTGTTAGAGATAGACAGAAAGGAGGGACATGGATGGAGGAAAAGGGTGGCCTGGTGGTTCTAGGCCAAAAAACCTTTGATCAATTTCATGGCCTGGTGACCAAAAAACCTTCGATTTCACTAAGAACCGGAACCCTAGTTCCAACAATAGTCGATTTTTGGTATTTGATTGAGAGAGAGAGAGAGAGAGAAGAACGATTGAAAGAAGGTAGAGGAGAGCTTGGCGGGGTTTTTAATTTTTTCAGAATTTCATTTCCCCCTTTCCCCCACTATTAAAGGATGGAACGCGCGTTCCATTAAAAAATATAAAGCGACATCCTTAGACGACGCGCATTTTATTATAGGTGCCCTCCGTGTTTTTTTAGACACTAATTTAAGGGCGCGCAATAATGCGTGTCTTCTATCCTAAATTTTTTTGAAGAGATGACATTTTTCTAATGTCACTCTCCCTTGCGTAACATAGATCAATGAGCGTCGTATTTTGCGCGTCGTAAAGGCCTTTTTTCTAGTAGTGCATGGAGGTTATCAACCCATGGATCATGGAATATGGAAATCCATGACAATTAGGGTTTACATGGTGTAACCCTACTTGTGACACAACTATATAAAGACCCAATGACTAGAAAAATCGGCACTACAAGTAAGTACAAGAGGGCTAGTCGAATTTTGAATGTTAGTGAACTTCTCTTAAAGTTATTCCAAGTGTTGTGGTGTTGTGTGAGACATATGAGGCATCACACTTGAGGTTCTATGCTCACAAGGCTCTCAAGAAATCCAAGCAACAAAAAATGTATGTTCTTCTACTAGCTATTATGTTTAAAAGTTCCCCATGTCATGCTAGTTAGGTTAAGAACCTTGGAAAAAAAAATTTCATGTATCTTAGTAAAACATAGATCCAAGGTTTCTAGGGTTGCATGTACACCTTAGGAGTGTTAGAATGCTCAAAACCATTCAATGGTATCAGAGCCTAGGCTTGTTTTCTTCATACTTGATGCAAACTTGTTGGAAAAACTAAAAAATGTGCAATCTGCTAAGTGAACTCGCCGAGTACATGGAGGGACTTGATGAGTTCATGTGTAAGATCATCTTACTCGTCGAGTAGGTTCTTGCACTCGACGAGTAAAAGCCCCTGATTGCAGATTTTCGAGTTTTGCTATTGGAAATGGACTAGAAACATTACCCTAAACCGTTTTGGTCTTATAAAACTTGTTTTAGATGGTGTAATGGTTATACTAATCCATTTTCAATGGAAAATATCAAAATTTCAAGTTTTTTACGGCTTATTTATGATTCTTGAAATTGTTGATATGAATGTTCATGACCTTATGAGTTTAGAATATCATAGGAATCATTTGTAACTTGCTTGTTAGCTTAATTCTTGATCTTGATGTGTTTTAATGGAATCCATAATTTGTCCTCAAGTTATGGATTACCAATCTTAGTTACTTTAGGAAAATGTGAATAAGGTGCGAAGCAATGAAATTGCACATTGCACTTTGCTTAAGTTGTTAGTGGAGCATGTGTGGTTAACCGACACACTATCCTAGACATAACAAGGTAGGAAAAGGGTGGCTTAAGGTTTATCAATGGTCGGTGGAGCGCGTGCGGTTACCCGGTACATCGATTGAGTGATAAAAATTAAGAGTACTAAGTAATTTTCATGGTTACTTCACACATTGTTTTGTGATTCTCAACATCCCAGTCACAAAACTTGAAGGGCAAACTCGAGATTGAAACATGTCATTGAAAAGTTCAATGAATCTCAAAGAATCTAGGAGTTTCAAAACCGTCTAAAACCTAATAATCTATTTCGTTTTTCATGGTGGAAATTGGTGAGTCGTCATTCACCTACCTACAAATATTTTTACCTTGGATTACGACATCCCTCTTCTAAGTTATAAAATATTGTGTTGGGTCCTAGCCTTAATATTACATTTGGGTGTTTTATTAAGGACTATATTTATATATAATATAAACTTGTATTTCTTCTTTTTCAGATGTCTTCCAACAATGTTGCTTCTGGCATAAACCCTATCAACACTTTCTCTCTCATTAGCCTTTGTGGGAGAGTCATCTTTGATGGTTCCAACTTTATGGATTGGATCTGGAACATTAGGATGGTCGCTCGTTACGAGGACAAGGAATATGCCCTCGACAATGAGCTTAAGGAACTTGATGAGTCGTCTGCTACTCCTGAAGAGATCGTTGAATTCCGGACTCATGAGAGAGATGCCATGAAAGTGGCATGTATCATGCTGGCCACGATGATAGCCGAGCTCCAAAAGTCCTATGAGGACTATTACCCTTGTGAGATGCACCAGGACTTGATGGACCGCTACCATCAAAGTGCTCGCCAAGAGGGGTATGACATCATCTGCTCCATGATAACAACCAGAATGAAGGATGGTGAACCCATCACGGGCCACTTGCAGAAAATGCAAAGCTATGTGGATTGTTTTTTGAAGCTAAATGTGAACTTCCTTGAGGAGTTGGCAATTGACATCATTTTTCACTCCTTACCTTCTTGTTTTGATCAATTCTGAATGACATACCACATGAACAAGGAGGAAGTTACACTCAGGAAACTTTAATGACTATTGAAGACCACCGAAAGTGGTCTCAAGGATAAATCGGTTGTTACCACTCCTACTCCTACTACGACCCCGATCTTGGCAATCGGGCAAGGCAAAGGGAAGAAGAGGAAGAACCCCTTGAAGGGTACCAAGGGAAAGTCCCTTGATGGATCCTCTTCAAGTGGAACCAAGAAAGGTTATGTTACTCCTTCGGCCAACCTATAAAGAGGCTGAATGCTTCTATTTCCATGAAAAGTCGCACTGGAAGCGAAACTGCCCAAAGTATCTGCAAGATGTTAAGGATGGGAAAGTCAAACCCAACCATACAGGTATTTACAATGTATAGTCTAATAAATCACCCCATTCTAATTCTTGGGTCCTTGATACTAGTTGTGGTATTCATATTTGTTTTGATTTGCAGGGACTAAGAAGAAGTGAGGATGTTGAGCATGGGAAGATAAGCTTAATCATGGGGAATAGGAAAGCTTCACCTGTCACCAAGATTGGAGTTTATACGTTGTTGCTAAGTAGTGGGTTAACATTAGATTTGAATAAACGTTGTTACTCGTCATAAATGGCGAGAAATATTATTTCCTTTCATGCATTATACAAAAAAGGGTTTACCTTTTCTTTTGATAACGAATGTGGTGGTATTAATGCTTTCTTTAATAATTTTTTTTATTTTAAAGCATTACCTTGTGATGGTGTGTATGAAGCTGTGTCGGTTGTAGATAACCTAGGAAGTAATGTGTTGTGTATTGATTCTTCCACTAACTTAGATAAACCATCATTGTGGCATTGTCGTCTTGGACATGTAAGCAAGAAATGCATAGGACAACTCCAAAAGGATGGAGTCTTGGAGTCATTTGACCTAAAGTCGGATGATAGTTGTGAATCTTGTCTACTTGGAAAAATGACAAAATCGACCTTCACTGGTTCTTGTTCTAGGGGTGAAGGTTTGTTGGATTTGGTACACACTGATGTGTGTGGATCCTTCAGAAACACCACAAGGGATGCTAACCACTTCTATGTGACTTTTACTGATTATTATAGTAGATATAGATATGTCTACTTAATCAAGCATAAGTCAGAAACCTTTGAAAAGCTCAAATATTTTAAGCAAGAAGTGGAGAATCAATTGGGCAGGAACATTAAGATGCTTCGATTCGATCGAGGTGGTGAGTATCTTAGTACAGAGTTCCTTGACTATCTGAAGGAATGTGGGATTGTCTCACAATTGACACCTCCCAGAACACCACAGCTTTATGGTGTGGATGAGAGGCGTAATTGAACCTTGTTGGACATGGTTTGTTCAATGATGAGTCAAGCTTCGCTACCAATCTCATTTTGGGGGTATGCCTTAGAGACTGTCGCCCATATCCTTAATCTAGTCCCTACAAAGAAGGTTGATAAAACACCTCACGAGATGTGGATTGGAAAAGTTCCCAATCTAGACCACATCAAGATTTGGGGTTGTGAGGCTTTTGTGAGGTGCGAGACTCACGATAAGCTCGAACCTCAAAGTGAGAAGTGTATTTTCATTCGCTACCCACATAAATCCTTTGGTTACCTCTTCTATATACCTAGTGATAATGTGGTCTTTGTAGCAAGGAGAGGAGTCTTTCGAGAGAGAGAGAGAGAGAGAGAGAGAGAGAGAGAGAGAGAAAGAGACTTCATAAGCCAAGGAAACAGTAGGAGGAAAATTGACCTTGAAGATATTTAAGAGTCAAGTGGTGAAGGAACATCAAACCCTAGAAATCAACCTGAGGAGGAAACTCCTGTTGATCCAACTGACGAGTCTATACCTCTGAGGCATTCCACGAGAGTTAGGAATGCACCCGAGCATTACTATGGTTTCCATATTACTATGGAGGGTAATACACTTATCAGTGATAACACACTGATAAGTCTGGATGAACCTAACAGCTACACGGAAGCCATGGCAGGCTCTGAGGCTACTAAACGGAAAGATGTTATAGACAGCGAGATACATTCCATGTATGACATCAAGTTTGGAACTTGGTTGAAATTATAACAGGTCGTAAGATAGTTGGGTGCAAATGGATCTTCAAGAAGAAGACTGATATGGATGATAATGTACACACTTATAAAGCACAACTAGTTGCAAAGGGATTTTCTCGAACTCCTGGAGTTGATTATGATGAGTCCTTTTCACCAATAGCAAAGATTAAGTCTATTAGGGTCATGTTAGCCATTGCTGCGTTTCATGATTATGAAATATGGCAAATGGATGTCAAAACCACTTTCCTTAATGGAAAGTTAGTTGAGGATGTTTACATGAGTCAACCAAAGGGTTTTGTCAACACATAGTACCCTAATAGAGTGTGTAAGCTTTAGAAATCCATCTATGGATTAAAATAAGCACCTCGCAGATG